TATATATATAATTTATTAATGAGTAGTAAACAATAATAATAATAATAATAATAAAAAGCAACTAATATATACCACAAGCTCACACACTCATGTTTATAGTTGTTAGTGTAAAATCCAAAACATGAACCTAATAATTTGCTGCTACTCACATGATGTGTTATCTCAAGTACACATCTAAACAAGTGGTTTCTTAAATTTTATTTTAGTGCATGTGAATATTTAAATAATATTATGAGGAAAAAAGGAAAGGAAAAAAAAAAAGGTAAATATGAAAGAGAGACAAAGAAAATGGATGCTAATTGGAACCGTGTGAAAAATCACATTTAGTTGGAAAATTTCAAATATAAATTTCAAGAATAATATTCTAACATATGAATCAACCATATATATCTTTGAGCTTTAACGAGTTTGGCTTGATTTGTTAACTAAATGAGTTTGAGCTCGAGTTAGCTAACAACGCATTTATTTTAATCGCTGCATATATGAATGCGAGTTTAATTTATCCTAACCGTTTATGCTACTCTTTCTAGATCTCCTTTCTAAATGCACTTCAAGGGGGGGAAATTTTAGAAGTAGTTTCACACTCGACAAAATCGTGAAAATCAAAATAGTCCTACAACTTTCAAAAATTAATTAAAAATAGACTTTTAATGTGATTTCCGGTCCGCAAGGCCCGAAAATCCACGTGCCATGCACAAATTAATGTGGAATTACCATAAAATAATTTTAGAAGTATCATATTATATAAATTCGTTGCCAATATTTTCTTAGGGTTATTCTTTTCAACAGGTAACTTACATAAAAATATGAATATTTGAAAAACTTTTGAATTAAGCACTGGGCAATTGTTTAATTGATCTAGTATTATCGAATATTCATATTTAAACATATATCTATGTTTTTTTCGTAATTTTATAATTATTTAATAATAAATATAGTAAAAATGTTAACTATAATATTAAATTATCATAAAATTACAAAAACATCTTTATTAATGACATAATTATAGTTAACATTTTTAGTCATGATTTTTTATTTTTGTAATTTTAGAATTATTTCATTAAAAGTACAGTAAAAATTAAATGTAAAACACCACATCTGTGCCACGTGGCTTTTAGGGCTTTTCGGGCTCGCTATAAAAGTCCTATTTTTGACTAATTTCTTAAGGTGGAGATCCTCTATACCTGTAGGACTAGTTTTAAAATTTTCTTGTAACGACCAAGTAATCTCTCACGGTCAGTCCCGATCACATAATCAAGAATCTTAAACAATGTCAAGGAAATATCGATTACTGGAAAATTATTATCTACACACAAGTTTTACTACATTATATTAGAGAGCTTTTACTCTTGAATTATGTAATATAATATTTAATTGACCTTCAGCTTTGTAGTTAGTAATTAGATTAGAATTTTGAAATGATATATGGGGAAAAATTCAAAATTAGTCCCACAGGTATAGGGGGGTGACATTTTTGGTCCCAA